TCTTGCAGAAGCATAACAACCAGAGATAGTTGGGAGGGGCTATCTGCAAAGCTCCCAGGAGTAAACGAAGGATTTCTGATAGCCAGGATTTCTCCTTACTCTACAGATAGGAGTACACATGAAACTGTCCAAAGAAAACAGGTTTAGACAAACCTGCCGTAAACGAGCCTGGTTTCGCATGTGGTACAAGGACCTTAAAATTTATACCGAAAACTACTATCTTTGTGTTTCGTGACTCCCCTTTTAGCTTATATGCTTTCCGCAAAACAAAGATCACTTTCTTAAATAAACAGTATGTTTTTTTTCAAACCACCGGCAGAACTGATTTGTTTTACATCCCTTCCTGTATACAGTATTGATTAAAGTACAATTCAATGACTATAGAATAAAGATGATTTTCACGAGGAAAAAACGATGCATTTTTCACATATTTATTGACAGTTCAACAAATTTTAGAAGGATAAACACATGCGTGCATTTTCTTTTTAGAATCAACAGGCGACTTCTGAAGAAACTTGATCTAGCATCAAACGTATTTGCCAATCATCTCAAACCTGCACTTCCTTGGTTTCACAAATCATAACTAATTAAGGTCACTGTTATTGTCGTGAACTGTGTCGGAGGGTGGAGCCGGGGGGTTTTCTTACGGGGTATACTTTTTGCTAATTTCTAAAAGATACTTCTATCTGGCTTGGTCAATTTAGGTTAAAATATAAAATAAAACTGACTAAACCAGATAAACAAGCAGCCATTAGAAGAACAGATAAGAAAAGTAGCAAGTGTTTTCTGTAATTAATGACGTCTCCACCAGACGTACCTTGTTGATGGTGAGGGGCAGCGACCCGCCTCCTGCTAGACGGAAGCCCCAAGGCGCCCCTCCGGTCAAGGTCACCTGAATCCGCTTTGAGCTCACCATCTCCGCTCTCTTGTGGGTGTGCCTCAGTTCAAGGAAGGGGCGGGGCTGACAGCGTGACGTCGAACTCTCGTGACTAGCCTGCTGACGTGCGTTGCACACACGTCACTCAGTAGACATAACAGCGGCGGACGGCGCGGCTGGGGCCCTTTGTAAGGTGTGGACGGCAAAGGGTTTCTTGGTCGAAGAGGTTGCAACGCTGAGGACAAAAGATAAAAGCATGATAGTAAAGTTATACCCCAAGATGAAATTTAAAGGACAGTATCACTTGCGGCTCGAGCAGAACTACAATAATAATCTGTCAAATGCTGAAATAAAAAAAAATATATAAGCATTCTGTTATATCCCAAGGTGATATGTAAAGGACAGTACCGACACTTTCTGTCAGACAGAACTACAATAACCAGTCAATAGACGCTTAAGGCAAATAATAGAACCATATGTCTTGTTACACCCCAAGATGGGATTTAAAAGATTGTATCTAAACGTTCAGCTCCAACTGCACAACAATAATCAGCCAACAGTGTCATTATTCTATGAACCACGAAATATAATGAGTCTTATATCAAACATTATTTCCCTTATGTTAGATTTCACATATTGAGATAACGTGTCTGTGTATAGCAATTCGACAGTTTTTACTGTTTTAAAAAAATGAGACACAATAATACTATACAACGCTTCTTGGTGGGTGATCTACACACATTGCACCATCATCTAAAAGATTAAAAATCAGAGATTAACCCCGTTACAATTAGGTGCTAGATTTCGAAGTCAGTGAAGTAAAATGGAGAAAGAAATTCGTTTTTCTCTAAGGTTAAAGGCCTAAATTGCTCTTCTCTTTACTCCACCTACCAAGATACCCACATGCTGGTGGCACGTAACACACACAGCTATTGAAAACGACTAAAAGCAATTGTGAAAAAAAAACCCCCCAAAACCCCCAGCTGCTCTCCCAACAGGAAGGTTTAAAGAATAATGGCCGGAAACATCATCTATAATGTAAAAAGAGCCTGATATTGTACCGATAAATAACGCTCTACTGTGCTTGAAAAGAATTGCATGTGGTTACGTGTAATAGGTGTGTAAGTTCCTTGTCCGGGCCTGAAAGCACAAGTGAGTGTATGTGCGTCTTTGCTTTTTTGTTTGTGTGTGTATGTACATATATGTGTCAATGTGTGTTTGTGTGTGTGTGTTTGTGCGTGCGTGTGTGTGTGTGTGTGTGTGTGT